TCCTTCCCTGAGAGCATTGTAGGTCTACCTACAGCACATGGACTGTAGCGGTTCAAGAAGGCAGCTCACCACCATCTTCTCAAGGGCCAACTCAAGACGGATAATAAATGCTGGCCCAGCCAGCGATGCCCACATCCTGTGAATGATTAAAGAGAATAAAAAAAAAAAAATCAAGCTTGTTTTCCCCATTGAATTTGGAATATAGGAACAGGATTAGGCCTTTCAGCCTGTCAAGCCTTTTCTTCTATTCAATCATCTATGGCCTAACTCAACAGACCTGCCTTTGGCCCTAATACCTTTGCTTAACAAAAAATGATCAATCTCAGATTTAAAATTAACAACTGATCGATCATCCACTGCCATTTGTGGAAAAGAGTTGCAAACCTTAAGCACTCCTTATGCATCGACGTGCTTCCTAACATCTCTCCTGAACAGTCTAGCCATAATTCTCAGACAATGCCCCTAGTTCTAGAATCCCCAACCAGTGGAAATGTTTTATCTTTATCTGCCCTGTCTTTTCTGTTAATAACTTGAATACTTGGTTAAGATCACCCCTTAACCTTCTAAATTATGGAGAAAACAGGCCTAATTTGTATAATCTCTCCTCATAACTTAATCCCTGAAGTCCAGGTATCATTCTTGTAAACCTACATTGTATTTCCTCCAAGGCCAATCTATCCTTCCTAAGGTGTGGTGCCCAGATCTGTTCACAGCACTTCAAGTGGGGTCTAACCGGGGTTTTGTATAACTGCAACATAACCTCTGCATCCTCATACTTCAGTCCTCCAGATATAAACGCCATTAACTTTGTTGATTATTTTCTGGATCTGTTTGCAGCATTTTAAAGATCTAACCATCTGAACTCCCAAGTCTCTTTGGACATCCACTGTATTTAACTTCATTCCATCTAGAAAGTACCCTGATCTATCCTTCCTTGGTCTAAAATGGATAACCTCACACTTGCTTATACTGAATTTCATCTGCCATAGTTAGATCATGGTTGATCTGTGGATTAGTTCTAGCTACCCACCTTGGTTCCCTAACCCTTAATAACCAACAAACATCTTGAAATTTTCAATTGACTCCAGCGTGAGGGTGTTCCAGATTTCCACAGTCCTTTGTGTGAAGAAATTCTTTTTGACATCATCCATTTTCTGACATTAGCACTGAATGGCCTCTCTCCAATTTTAAGGTTCCCTCCCAACCGTTGTTCTGGATTCCCACCAGAGGAAATGGTTCCTCTTTACCTATCCTAACAAATCTTTCATTCATCTCCAACACGTCAATTAGATCAGTCCTTAATCTTCCACACGTGAAGCCTTGCCTACACAAGCTCATAATTTAACCCTTTTAGCCCCACTACACTGTTCCCACCCTTCCTGGGTATCGTCGATTGCAATCCTTCACTGCTTTTTAGCCCTTGCCCTAAGTAAATTAACTTTATAAGCTTCTGTTCTTATTATTTGATTGACTGCCTACAAATAATTCTGCCTTGCATTCAGGTCAGTGTCATTTATATGTGTTCTATAACCACTGAATATCAAACAAGCATGTAATTGTATTTACAAGTAAGAATAACAAAAGACCCAAGTTAAATATAGACCAAAACCACATGATCAATTTATAAGGAATTTACAGTAGACTGGTTCACTAGTATTTGGAGAGGTGACCAGACTATGCCAGCAAGGATTTCGCTGTATAGTGTGCATGTAAAAATAGGACGGAGTCAAACTGAAGCCTCATCTGCCTCTCAGGTGGTGATTTAAAAAAAAATCCCATGGCCACAATTTCTGAGAAGAGCAGAGGTGATTTCCTTCATCTCTGGGCCAATATTTTTCCTTTCACCAGGATTCACAAAAGCAGATCATGTTGCTGACTGCGGGAACTTGCTGTGCACTAATTGACTGCCTCATTTCCTGCATTATAGCAGTAATCACACTTCACAAACTTCATTAACTGTGAGTTGAAGTGCTTTGGGATCTCCTAAGGCTTTTAAATATATACAAATGTATGTTATGGGTTGTCAATTACAATGTCCCTTGTTTAAAGTAAACAAATTATGGAAGCATATGAAAGCATAATTCATTCAGTTTTAACAGAATACAGTTCACAATTCTTGGCTTCAATATACCCATGCCTTTTGTGATCAGTTGTTCAGTCTGAATTTCCAACAATTCACATAAACATAGAACATAGGAGCAGGACTAGACCATTCAGCCCTTGAGTCTGCTCTGCTATTCAATATCATCTTGGCTGATCATCGAACTGAATACCTTAATCCTGCCCTCCTCCATATCCCTTGATCCCTTTTGCCACTAGAGATACATCTACCTCCTTGAAAACACAATGTTTTAGCGTCAACCACTTCCTGCGGTAGAGAATTCCACAGGCTTTACCACTCTCTGGCTGAAGACATTTGTCCTCATCACAGACCTACAATGTTTACCCCCTTATCCTGGTTCCGGATACTCTCACCATCGGGAACATCCTTCCTGCATCTAACCTGTGTAGACCTGTTAGAATTTTATAGGTTTCTATGAGATACTCCTTCATTCTTCTAAACTCTAGTGAATAGAATTCTAACCGACTCAATCTCTCCTCATACGTCAGTCCTACCATCACAGGAATCAATTTGATAAACCTTTGTTGCACTCCCTCTATAGCAAATACATTCTTCCTTAGATAAGGAAACCCAAACTGCACACAATACTCCAGGTGTGGTCTCCCCAAGGCCCTGTACAACTGCAGCAAGACATCCCTGCTCTTGTCCTTGCATCCTCTCACTATGAAGGCCAACATACCGTTTGTGGTTTTTACTGTCTGCTGTTTCTACTGTTGCAATTTTTGATCAGTTTCAACCTCCATAAACGTCAGTGGCATTAGCATTTAAAAAACTTTATGAAATTTGCTTTCATATGTTGTTTACAGTTTGCTTTAACGATGGACACATCCAAAGTTATTAAAGTTCAATGTAGCACAAGTGTGGAAAATATATATAGTGTTATGTAATATATGGGAAAAGTTACAATGAAAAAAATGACTGGTTCAAAAAAAATCTTAAACATTTCTCAGTGAGAAATGACTTTTAACCGATGGATTCCTTACTGAATCATAGAATCCCTATAGTGTGGGAACAGGCCATTCAGCCCATCAAGTCCACACTGACCCTCCAAACAGCATATCACCAGATCCAACGCCCTACCCTATTCCTGTAATGTTGCATTTCCCACAGCTAACCCACACATCCCTGGAGACTATAGGGAAACTTCCCATGGCCAATCTACCTAACCTGCACATCTTTGGACTGTGGGACAAAACCAGAGCACGCCCCCACAGACACAGGGAGAACATGCAAACTCCACACAGACAGTCACCCATAGCTGGAATCAAGCCTAGGTCCCTGGCACTGAGGCAGCAGTGCTAACCACTAAGCCATCATGCCAGCCATCCCAAGATCCACTGCTTTCTTCCCAAGATCCATTGCGTCAGTGTAACAACAAATCCATTTTTTCTCAGTCAATTGAAATATTTAATAAAATCATGAATGATTCTAGCATGTTATTGATTATGCTTGACAGTTCACTTCTGACCTCCAAGACATCACCCAAGTGGCCATTGCTCATGTGAGAGTCTAGGAAGTGAGTGCTTCTGTACTGTTCAACTGTTTGGGGGGGAGGGGGTGTGAGTCTGAGTTAGTGCCCACCAAGGTGCAAGGGTCTTCCAGTGATCATGAGCACAGTATGGGTTTCCCTCCCTGAACATGGGTGCTGAAGGCCAACTCAGGGTGAGATTAGTCGACAGACCAGGAATTCTTGACCACACACTGCAATGTCCATGGGAAGCCATGAGACTATATGACTGTTTTGTAAACCAAGTGAGTTTCCCTTCAATCATCTGGCATTGTCGATTAAAATCATTGCCAGCATTGCAACTTGGCTCAGGAATTGTCACTGCTTCACAGAGCGACGCCGCACAAAAAGGTGCATGGTCCCTTTAAATGGGCAAATGCTGCATTGACAGAGTGGGTCTTTAAAGTCAGAAGTAACAAGCAGCAAATATGACCAACTAGCCAGTGAGCAATTGCACAACACAATAAGCCCTTTAAACACTGAATTTTCCTGGCATAACGCCAACATCAAATCTGTTTTTCATCACGTAACATTGACAACACAGATATTCAGTACAGCTGTGACATTGGATCTTAGCAAGGGGTAGAGCGAGGCGGGGAAGAGGGAACCAAGATAGTTGTTTTGCAGATGTTCTGGCATCTTACCAATGGCCAGTTGCTTGGCAACAATATATCGTCCTCTCTTTGTCACATGAGCTTTCTTTGCTCAGGTGAAGATGATCCTGAATGTTATATTTAACATTTACAGTTCACATGAATGTAAATCTTTATATAATGCTCACTGTGATATTGTCGTACAGCATATTTCTTTATGAATCTCGAACAAATAAAGAAGGCAAAAAGGAAGTCTCCTCTCTATGATAAACCTCTCACAACTTTTTGCAGCTTCTGGAGATGGAGGGTTAACACTGGGCTCCCAGGTCAAATCCGACATAGATAGATGCAACGTCTCCTCTTCGTAGGAGTACACAGCATGTAAATATCCATTCCGATGCACTGTCCTGCTCGCCCTGAAGGGTGGTGTCAGAATTGAAAGAAATCATATTGGTTTATCTCGTCTGAGAAGAAGGGTAAGTTGTTTGGGCAAAAGACAGCTGTTTGAAGAGCCCTACAACCCAATATGCTGAATGTTCCAGCACTGGATAAACATGTGAGAAGTTGTTTAGCCTTAGCCCACAATCTCATTCAGTCCAACCCTTTTAGCTTTACAAAAGCAGATTGGTTGGGTTGAGTTTCTTGTTTTTTGGTTTCGAATCCATTCAGCCCTCCGTTTTTTAATGTCAGAACATCTCATCAGATGGTGCGAAAGTATGTCAGAAACTTAGGGCCTCAGCAAACAAAGTGCATTGTGAATTGGAAAGAGATTCAGAGTGCAGAGCACTGTGCAGCTATTCTAACTCTCAAGCAATGCTGAAATGTTCCATTCCAACTGTTTGTAGAAACACAACTCCTTGAATCAATAGAGATAGTAGGAAGTGCAGATGCTGGAGAATCTAAGATAACAAGGTGTAGAGCTGGATGAACACAGCAGGTCAAGCAGCATCATAGGAGCAGGAAGGCTGACGTTTCGGGCCTAGACCCTTC